GGGGGCAGGGTGTAACGTACGTATATGATTCAACATTCAAATCAGTAATATATAAGTTACGTATATTAGGTATAATTATTATTAATAGTTAGGTAGACATTACTTTAAGCTTTATAATATTAATATAATTCTACTAGGGACCTATATAATACCTATAATAATATATTTATATAGGTACAGGGTGTATCTTATGATTGTACACGGAGTTTTTTAACAATTATGGACCGATGATATGGAATTTCGTTTAAACGAAAAAATAAGTGCATCTTTATTTTTAACTGGCAAATTTTTTCATAACAATTTCAAATTTTTTTAACCAATAACAATTTTAAGCCCACATTACAGTTCATTTGTTGATTATGCATGGGAAATGTTAAATTATTTTGTAAAAACATTTGAACAAATTTATGGTCAATATTTAACGTCATATAATGTACATGGTTTACTCMATTTAACTGAAGATTAAAACAATTATTGATCATTGGATAACTGAAGCACATTCCCTTTCGAGAATTACATGCAGACATTTAAGAGTATGCTCAGAAGGCCACACAAACCTTTAGATCAGGTTATAATGAGGTACAATGAAGGGGCTGATTTAAATTATACCACTAATAATGAAAAAGAACTACTTTCTCATGGCTCATTATTAGGATCACCTAATAAGGGACCTTTATTAAATAGTATAAGTACTGAGTCTCAGTATAGCAGTTTTATATTGGATAATTGTAAAGTTAAAAGAAAAATTGATGCAAATTCTTAGTTTTCTACAAAAAAAAATTGAAATTGTTAAATTACCTAGTAAATATTTCGTTTTCTAAATTTTCGAGAAATGTAATTTTAATTAGACGACAGTTCAAGAAAAAAGAAGATTTCTATTACAACCAATAAATTCATCACTATTGAAAATATATAAAGTAAAACATTTATCAAGAATTTAAATCACTGGGATATAAGTGAGGCTAAAACAAAAATTATAATGCCTTGTAATGATGCACTTTTTGCATTCCCATTACTTTACTCTATTTAGTTTTGTAAATAATACATTGTAAGCTATAATTCAATCTATTTACTTGCTATAGGTTTAAAAAAAAATTGTATAAAAATATTTTTAAACAGGAATTAATTAGGGACAATTTTAGTATTTTAATTGTAAACACTTGGTTTTATATTGTACTGTTATAAAAAAAAATTCCTTTATATTTATTTAAAATTATTGATTATCTATAATTTAATTGGTACCAACATATATTATTTTCATTTTTAGCAATATTATTCAAGTATATTTTTTAATTTTTAATAATATACTCTAAAAGTTGTATTTGATTAAGATACTTATTTACAAAAAATTTGAGTCAATGGCAACAAGTTTAAATGTCTTGACCTACTTACCTATATTATTAGTTGTAATTTTAACTAAAAAAATATTAAATATCAATTTGTTATATACATTTTTAACTAGGTATATATGTATATAATATTTATTTAGTATTATGTGGTCAATCGTTGAGTTTATTAATGAACATACAATTGAAGTTGTGCCAGCCCATTGGCTAAAGAATAAACAGTGAGCCTGGCCAAAAAAAAAACGTAAAATCCAATATTGAAAGAAGAACCATTCCAAATATTTTTGATTTTAATTACTATGCTTCCAGAGTTATAAAAAAAAGCATTGGTACATTGGTACATTTTTATATTTTTAATTTATCAATAACTTTTTGAAAAATTAATTTACATATTTAAATTAAATACAAAATATTGAACTATTAATATTTTTCATAAGGTCTTAGAGTCTATATTTATTTTAAACATTTGATATTCTTTACAAGTAGCTAGAGATAAATTAAAGATTGTTGAACATACTTAAGACTCATAAACAACTGAAGAAGTTTGCATTAGAGAAAAAAAACAACAGTCACTGACCCTCCAATGCACTCATCACATGATATGGAGACTTCTAGCGTAAAAAAAGGTAAACCAATTTAAGTTTATTTCTATGTGCATTATACTTGAGACACCAATACATTTACTATTTCAGATTATGATGATAATAATTTTGAAACTCAAAGTTTGAAAAATGTATCATTAGCAAAGACATGCAAGAGAAAACTATTTGTTATATATTGTATAGGCGCCTAGTAGGGGCCGCCTACTATTATATAGACTTATACATTTTAATCAACTAGCAATTTAGAATTAAGAATAAAAATAATTTTTTTTAACTTTAGAAATATCAGTATTAACTATTAAGTTTTCAAGGTTGTATTTGTATATATGCATATGTTTTAGATGGCACTACAGATGATCTCAACCCCAGTCATTCACTAAATATAAAAAGGCGTAACAATAAAACTTATAGAAATTCAAATAATTTGAATTCTCTTGAATTTTTAAATTTTTTACCCAAACATTAAAATAAATTTAAAAATGAAATAATTGTAGTTCTTATCCCTGTGAATCTTATTACAAAACCAGAATTTTGACATCTCTATTATTTCGTTAGATATCGTAATGGGTAAATCGTCGCGGGACACTCTGTATATTATGTTATTAAAATCATACTATTCATTTTTTTTTTTTATTTAGTGCTTTCACTACAACACACCTCAGGGCTCAGATATCAAAAAAAGTAAACACACAATATGATAATTCCGATGAACAGCATTTTACAGTAACTGGTAATAATTAATTTAGACAGTCCTTTAAATATTAGATAATATACTATTTAACAATTAATATTGATTTTTTGTAGATTTAAATGTTAAACAGTCTATAGTTTATACTTCTTCATCGCCGTTTAGAGTAACATCAGAAGAAGTTAATATTGACTATACATCAAATATGATGAATGAACCTCAAAAATCAAATATATATGTATCTTTAGGAACTCATCAGAAAACTTAAGTTAGGTTACTAATTAGTAAGTTTGATTTCAGGCCTCTAAAAAAGTTAATGTCACTTTTTTTTTGTCCTATGCTACCATAATTATTGAGATTACCTACTTAAACTAGTTTTATCATATTGTCTATCTGTGTTGAATTATAGGATTTCCATTATATAGGGCCTATTTAAATATAAATAATTAAAAATGTATGATAAAAAAAAATTTTAAATAACTACTTTTTATATAATATATTATATACAATTTGAAAAAATAATTACCATTTTATTACAATATTATATTTATTATATTGTTATTAAAATAATGCATACTTGGCGAAATAATAATACTTAAATTACAAAAACATTTTTTTTTCTATTTATATTGAGATAAAGATGATCAAATAATATTATTCATTATATTTGTAATTTTATAGAAACATTATTATAATATGTTTTTGCTATCTGGGTACACCTACATATTTTTTAAATTTTCATATTAGTGACCCAATATTTAAAATTTGTAGTAGGTACCCTTTGAAAGACACTTGTCGATGATAAATATTATTATATCTCTCATAAATGTATTTGCACAATTAGGGTGGTAGAGATTAAGATACTATATAGTGAGAAGTAGATGAATAATATCAACTAATATTTTTTATGCTTTTGTAATTCAACTAAGTTTGAAATAAAATAAATAATAGTGAAATAATGGAAAATATTTCGGTTTTCGTATCATAATTGAAGCTAGGTACMATATTCATTGGTTTTAAAAAACAATATTCAGATTAATATAATGTTGCAAAGTATAAGAATATAAACTGTAATTATGAATACAAAAAAAAACAAAAGAATAATTAATTGAAAACAATGAAAACTCTTACCCTTTGTTGCTGAGCAAGTTTCAGGCTCTCCTCGAAATGCTGATGGACAGCTGCTTCAGCTTGTTGCTTTTCGGTATGTTCGCGATTGCCTCTCTGGTGACGGTTTACCAGCCGTTCGATTTCCACCTGCCCGTACTCGTTATTTGAACCGTTCTCGATGAGCACACCTCCACTCCTGGTTTTGCCACCCCCGGAAGGGCCTTGCACGTACGGTGGCTGTTTGGCTCTTTTCATTTCTTTGTAAACGTCCTTTTCCGCATTTCCTCTGCGGCGAATAATAAAAAAAAACAACGCATGATGATAAATAACATATTTAAAGATATTCATGAAAACAAAATATATATGTATAAAAATCTGAACAGGTTATGTCACAGTTTTTACGTCATAGTACCGGTCGTACATGTGATATATTTTATTTGATACTATAGTGTACAGACGACAAATTATGATACCTGACAATTAAACAGTGATAAAATAATATAGTTGTCAATTTGTTATGTGTACGTTTCACTGTTTGCAAACTTATCTAAGCAAACTGATTCACGTTAGTCAACTTTACAAAATATGAACTAGATCAACCATCCACAATTTAATTTTCAAGTTGAATATTTATCGGCGCATCCGAGTTGGGTCCCGAGTACTAGGGGCTAATTGCAGGTATTATACTAGTTGGGTCCCATATTTTTAAAGCTACTATACTAGTTGGATCCCGGATTATTATAGGTACTATACTAGTTGGGTCCCGAATTATTTTAAGTATTCCACTAGTTCCTGGATATTGTTTGGTAAGTACTACATCATACTAACATTTTCATTCCCATTTTAACAGACTGTCTATGATCTATTTAGACCACAGGTATGGTTAAAAAAAATTTTTACAGTTTTTTTTTAAATATTAAAATATGTAATATAATATATAATAAAAAAAAATGCAGGAATAATCAATCAATTTTATTTTGTAAAATTAATGTCGTATACATTTTTACCAACACACATGTGATTTTTCAAAAAATATTATTTTATTTGTATTTATATTATATGATTATTTTAACATTTTTAATATTTTTTCACTTACACCTATATGACTATATTTTTTATTATATATTATGTAATATATAATATGTATTTTTATACTCGGTTTTTAACATTTTTAATATTTTTACCAACACAAAAGTGATTTTGTGAAGTTGAAATAGATTATAGACAGTCCTAAGTCTGTTAAAATGGGAAGGAAAATGTTAATATAGTGTAGAACTTACCAAAGAATATTCATGAACTAATGTTGTAGCAAAAATAATTTTGGACCGAACTAGTGTAGTACCTATAAAAATCCAGGACTCAACTAGTATAGTACCTACAAAAATCCGGGACCCAACTAGGTAGTGTATTACCTAACATAATTCGGGACCCAACTAGTGTGGCAATTTTAAATTTGGAACCCAACTCGGATGCAGCCATATTTATGGGTAGATGTTTTTATTTGTTCTAACTGCTATCTGTAAATTTCGTATTTATTTTCCTGTACAAATTTAAAGACCGGAATCATATTATTATTATTATTATTGTTTACGATTATATTTTATAAGTTGAACATACTGTTCTTTTATTATATCAATCCACAATGATTACTGATTACAATACCTAGCCACTTAAAGTATCATGATTAGGATATTCGTCGAAACGTTAAGAGTTAGGTTATTACCATTGACAATTTGACATATAAATATATGGACTGCGCGTTCCCTATACCTGCATGTACATTTTGAAATATCAACATCTGGCGAGACAGACTATAACTACACCTCACATGGAACAAAAAATACACTGAACATAGAAAAAAACTGTACCTTTTTTTAAAATATAACATATTAGACCGTTGGCATAAATATTTAAATATTAATTTTTGGTACATAATAATATTATTATAATAAATATGAAGAATTGAAGTAATGAATGATATATAATTATTAATTATAATATAACTTTGGGAATTTGTTTAAAGTGAATATATGGGTACAGCAAATTAGTGTTATATTGATATCGCAAAATCAAAATTAAAAATAAATTAATAGTTATAATAATTAATAAGAAGTCCATTATTAACAATGAATAACAATAGTTGTTAGATTTTAATATACAACATTAAACATAAATTACGTAAATATTATAGTTTATTACAATTTATAATATATTTTTGATTTCTAAATGAATTTGTTTTGTTAAAAATGAACTAATTCTAATTTGTGGTTGACTATTGGTTTTATTAAAGTGATGTAATTTTATTGTAAGATATATTTTCAAAATTAAATTTACAATTTGTAGTAAATGGTTACTTATTGGTGATTGATTTAAAATGTGATTTGATATGGCAGTGAACAATGAATTAATTTAGAGATGAGCTGAAGATTTTATTATTAGATATTGAATTATATTATTTCCTTGCTTTGATACTTTCCCTTTATTGGTTTTAAATGTAGATTCTGAAACTTTACAAATCTTAAGCACGTTTGTTCATGAAATGTATTTTAAATATTTTGTATTCTAACTAACGAAAGAATCATTTGTGTCAATTTGCAACAGTAAAAGTAAAATGTGGTGTTATATGGATACTGGCAGAGTAGGGCGTTATTTGAATGAAATTTTATTTAAATGATTATTTAGATAACATTTTATTCGAATAAATTATTATTCGAATGATTGTTTCACATGTATTCGAATAATTTTTAAACATTATTATTTGAATAAAAAATTATTCAGATAATTTATAAACGTTATAATTCGAATAAAAATTAAAAACGTCAGAACAAGCTGCAGTATTTAAATTGTTTTAATAAAAATCAATAAAACGTTTGATTAGTAAATTATTAAAAAAAATTGATTTTGTTTAATATACAACAGCATAATAATTAATGTTAATATTAACTAGAAGACTTATAAATTATAATCTTATTACCATTATATGATACAATTTTTGTACTAGTATAATTTTTATTCGAATAACTATGTTTTTAAATTATTCGAATAATTTTTTACTCGAATATTAACGTTTGGAAATTATCCAAATAATTGTAAAAAAATCATTCGAATAATTTTTTATTTGAATAATTATCTAGATAAAATTTTAGCCAACCCTKCAGGATACAGGATAGCTGTTCATGAGGCTCATTTTTCATTATCATATTTCAATTTATTGTTGTAATCTGTATCAATAAATCATGGAATGAACAATTATTTATGTTATTTACTCCATGATGGTGTGATTTTTTTTTCTCACTACATTATGTTGGGATTGACTTTCTCTCTCTAAGCGCAGTCCATGTATTTAAATTTCTATGGTTATTACGTTAATAAATTATTATAAAATTAAGAAACTATTGACGTTCCCTCAGCTATGGTACGCACTCTAGTGGATGTTTTTGTAACTACTCAAACGAGGTAATCATCGACAAGAGTCTACAAATAGCGAATTTGTAGAGTAATTATTATTAAATTATTGATGTATTAACTATTATGTACAATCACCAAAATAAGAAAATCGCTAAATGTGAAATCCAGCGAAAATACAATTTTGTAAAAATTTAATTTGACTTTTTACTTGTGATAAAGATTGAAAAACTTGTAAGGAATCTTGTATTAAATTTTAAATCTGAGATTTAAAAAGAAAATTTTTTATGAATTTCTAGCTTAAATAATTTGTGAATTTTTGTGCGGTTTTTACGTATTTTGTCAAAATTCAAACTTTGAATGCTTATAAAAAAAAATTGTGACTATATATTTCTTTTATTTTTCAAT